CCTCCAGAAGTTGTGAATGCTCCAATACTGGAAGTTTTCAAGAAGAGACTGGAGAACCATTTGTCTGAAATGGTATAGGGTTTCCTGCCTGAGCAGGGGGTTGGACTAGAAGACCTCCAAGATCCCTTCCAACTCTGCCATTGTCATTATTATTAATCTAGGTAACATTATCAGTGCTGATAAAAAATGCGGTTTGATCTCACTTTATATTCTAGTGGCTTGCCCTAATGTTACCTGGTTTGAGTAATGAAACATCTGCAAGAAAACAACCAAGCTCACAGAGCACCAAGCACCTCTCATTTCAACCCTGAGCTACAAATATTCTTCTTTATCGGTATTCAAATTTTAGAATCAGATGTGGGAGGGCTCTTCATATATCAAAGGAAAAAGGAAAATAATTATATCTATAAATGTGCATACTCACACATGCTAATTTATATAGAACCAGTTTAGTGTAGTGGTTAATACACCAAGATAGAAATTGTTAAATTGTGAGTTCTACTTTCACCTTGGGCATGATCTGCTGGGTGATTTTGGGCCAGTCACACTCTCTCAGCCCTAGGAAGGAGGTAATGGAAAAGGATTTCTGAAACCTTGCCAAAAATCAGGGATTGGTACAATGGAGAGAGAGAGAGAGAGAGAGAGAGAGAGAGAGAGAGAGAGAGAGAGAGAGAGAGAGAGAGAGAGAGAGAGAGGGAGAGAGAGAGAGAGAGAGATGCTGAATTTGCAAATGTAGAAAATACAGTATGTACTCAGGTTTGAACAGATATGTATAATGCAATAAAATCTGTAGGAAGAATCAGGGAAGAATCTACAGCCCCACTTAGATAGGGATAAGAGCTGGCCACATAGGAGTTACAGCTTCCTGGACAACATGTACAGTTGCAATTCCTTTGTTGCTGTATATTTGATAATTTTTTTTAATGAAAGTCTTCCCTCTATTTTTTACCATATTACAATATGACTTTACTAGAGAGCAGATAGTCTGAGCCTGCAAATGCAGGCTCGGGATGTTGCAAAGGGTCCCGGGCTTTGCAGAAGCTGCCTGGGACCAGACTGAGTGGTGCCGGTTTGCGTTTCCATTGTGTCCGGGGATCTGGGCGTATAAAAGGAGGCCTGCGTGCCTTTGCTTGTTGTTGGAATTTTGGCTGAACTGAAATAAAGAGTGGTTCAAGGAAAGATGTGTCTTCATCATTCGCTATTAATGCGAGGACTTAACACTGACCTTACCATTACCTAGCACTTAAATCTTTTCTATTTCATAATGTTTATAGAAATAACTCTCCCTAGCTATATTTACACTGCACTTAGTAAAAACAATATTATTGCAATGATGAAAAGTAGATTCAGCAACATATAAAAGCTGTATTTGCTGGCAGGTTTATAGACAAGAACCTGGCAATTGTTTTTAGACATTGGACTCAGCATGGTTTGACAAGAGTCTTGGGCACAAATTCCATTGATCTTTCTCAGACACTCAAATAATACAGATAGGTAAAAATCTTTATTGCAGGCTAAGATAAAGCCAGTTAAAATGTAGGGTGTCTTCTATGAACAAGAAAGTGCAAATTTTTTATTAGGCATTGTAATTTAATTCTGCACTTCCTTTCTGATGGTTTAAGGGACTTCTTGCTTTTGCTTTTTAGTTCTGTCTGTAAGTCACCATTAAGGAGTAGCATACATTTAGGCATCTGTCCGTGCCACCCCATTCCCCAACTTAAATCCCAAGTCAAGATAAAGCAGAAAGCTGAAGTGAGTCTATGAAAGCAAGCTGGAATGACTGTGGTTTATGTTCCTTTGTTATGGCAACAGTGAAAGAAAAGTAGAGCCAACGTATTCTGAAGAACTGGGAGGGATTGTGGGAGAACAGGAGGAGGAATGTTTTGGAATCTTGTCTTACTGAAGGCCTCTCTGGAAGCCTACCTGTATTTAGAAGGATAGAAATACGATTACACTTGTCAAGGGAGTTCTGTTTTGAATTAAATTTAATTCCACCATGGTTATTTGATTGGGTCAGTGGATCTCTTTGTGGTGGCCCCACAACCTAGGTCTAGGTCCCGTTCCATTATCCAGAAGTATAGCAATAGCATTTAGATTTATATAGCGCTTCACAGTACCTTACAGCCCTCTCTAAACGGTTTACAGAGTCAGCATATTGCCCCCAACAATCTGGGTCCTCATTTTATCAACCTCAGAAGGATGGAAGACAGATATTGTAAGAACAGGAGAAACATTTATCTGAATAAATATTTTATTAATTTAATTCAATTTAATTTAATCTAATTTCAGAGACAGTTGTAGAACAAAACTATAAAACTAAACCATTTCCATAAACCATGATGGTTTAAGTGCACTATTAAGGGCCTTAATGGTAGCCGTCATAGTGCAATGGTTGGAATGCAGTATTGCAGGCAAAGTCTGCCAACAGCCAGGAGTTTGATCCTGATCAGCTCAAGGTTGACTCAACCTTCTGAGGTTGGTAAAATGAGGAGCCAGATTATTGGGGGCAACATGCTGACTCTGTAAATCACTTAGTGAGGGCTGTAAAATACTATGGAACAGTATTTAAGTCTAAGTGCTTTTGTTATTGTATTAAGGGTCTTATACTGATAAGATATGATGAAGTCAAGAATACAAATTGAGTGACAATTCAGACAGTTTTTAAGTGCAGCAGAATTAAATGACTACAACATTTTAGACATGCTTCCTCTCTGACGTAACTTAGAATTGTATTTTAGTCATTTCATCTGACAGTGATGCCAACTGCAAACATTTTTGTTCCAGACTTTTCCACTCCTCAGGCTTTTGCCATTATTATTCACTATCCCTATGTTAGCTAGGCTGCAAAAAGCCATATGTTTTGAGGATTGTGGAAATGTGCTTTCAATTAGCCCATATGTCTTTAATCCAAGCATAACATTAAAGCATATAATAAAAGAGTAGTACTCATGCAGCCATAGGATAAAAATAAGAAATGAAAACAAATACACATTTGGAGTTCAGTTTAACTAATGAACAGTGTGAGTACATCTTTTAAAAGCGAATTATCTCCATTCTGATTGGCATTTTTTACCAGTTCATTCCATAAAACTAATCTATCATTATAGCACATTCCTTTGATGCATGCTTTATATTAAAGTGATATGTATGGTTGTGCATTTGGCAGCTGCACCCAAAAATCATTGTTGTCTATGTAAATTTAAGGGACTGGCTGGTTTGCACAGATCCCTATGAAAGAGTAATATGGGAAGATATTGAGAGAAAGATGTAGTGTCATAATTTACAAATGGCTAGAAGAGAGGAGTATTTTGGGCCACATGGGATCACCAGGAACCTGGGGTAGAGGCCCCCATATCTCCACAAGAATTGCCATCAAAGTCAAATGAGACATGAGGAAAAGTGTTAGCCATATGGAAAATAGTCATATTGATAGCATTTAATTAAATAGTTATTTTAAATGTACATTATATTACATTTTTGTTTTGGCCATACCCAATTTCTTGGGATGCATTTCATTAGAGGCCAGTAAGGCACTCAGTACTCCAAGTTATAAGCTCCTGGGTCAGTTTTGGGAGTGAAATTGGAAGACTTATAAAAGTTAGATTTGAATCATTCTTATCAGGGAGATCCTTAGATGACCTTTGGCCAGGAATCCAAGCCTCATGTATTTTGTAGTAAGGAGGTCTTCATTGTTTTGATCTTTTTAATATTTGGAACTATACATTTGCTTTCTTGGCTAACTGCTGGTTTGGATTTAGCTCTTTCCTCAAAATCCCACTGTATACTGATATTGGTATGCTTTCATTGACATTGGTTATAAACAGAATACAGAATAACAGAGATGGAAGGGACCTTGAAGGTCTTCTAGTCCATTCCCCTGCTCAGGCAGGAAACCCTATACCATTTCAGACAAATAGTTGTCCAGTCTCTTCTTAAAAACTTCCAGTGTTGGAGCTTCACAACTTCTGGAGGCAAGTTATTCCACGGATTAATTGTTCTGACTGTCAGGAAATTTCTCCTTAATTCTAGGTTGGTTCTCTCCTTGATTAGTTTTCATCCATTGCTTCTTGTCTTGCCTTCAGGTGCTTTGGAGAAAAGGTTGATTCCTTCTTCTTTGTGGCAACACCTGAGATATTGGAACACTGCTATCATGTCATCCCTAGTCTTTCTCTTCATTAAACTAGACATACCCAATTCTAGCAACTGTTCTTTATATGTTTTAGCCTTAAATCCCCTAATCATCTTTGCCTGTTTCCCTTTCAGAAGTATTGAGATTAAAAGGTATAATTCTCTGTAACTTTCTTGGGAATAAGCTGCATTGATTTTCTTTTATACTTATTTATGGGTCAAGTGGCAAGAACAATAACAAGAAGTGTGGCACAGTAAGTGAGCATCTCCCATTACTTCTGTTGATTTATCTTCCCATTGGTGTCAGCCACTGAAACAATCTCTTTTTCTAAGTGAGTTATATGTTTACCTATTTTGAATTGGAAGTGGTGCACTTGAAAGCAGGGACCTGTGAATCAGATAAAAGAAAAGAACACTTAGCTATTGGGAAATTTGAAAATAGTTATAATATTGATATTTGCTCCATTTTCAGAAATATAAATATTCTGTTATTGTGTTTTCATAAATATTTATTGGCATAACTTAAATAGTTATAGATAATCCAATTGATTTAATTATGGGTTGTAAAGGCTTGAGAAAAAGCTGTTGATCTGGAATGTCTTTTAGAGTGAAAATTGCATTTCTTTCTGTAGGATAAATTTCTTCCTACTTTTCAGAAATTCTGCACACTTGAAGATAATGGTAGGAAATGATACATTTAACCTTAACGTTATCTAATTATCTTGTTAATCATTAGCTGCTTTTTAGCCAAATTCTATATGTAGAAATTGGCCACAAATATATGATACTAGCAAATACCAAGTTCATTTTTCCTGTGACCAATAACTTAAGAAAAGTCCAGCACCACCCACTAATGTCTTATCCAAGAAGGAAAATATTCTCCTGTTATTTGAATAAGACATGACCCCAGCAAACCAGACTTGATCCAGCACTCAGTAGAGTTGTATTGCTGGTTTAATGATTAAAGGATTAACTTCATGTGACTGGAATGAAAGTGTGCTAACACAAAGAATGAGATAGATTGCTGTTGGGTAGTGACTCCTTAACAAACAGAAACCCACCCAAGGAGTGCAAATGACTAATTTTTCTTCCTGGATTCTTTTACACCCTATACATACGTAATAAAGTAGGGACAAAGGATCTGTCTATTAAGTGGAATAAATGAGTAAGAAAAATACAATGAGGTAAGAAAATATTTTTTTAGTTTGAGGACCAACTTAAATCAACCAATAAGATCAGTGATCAGGCTAATTATTATTAAAGTATTATTATTTTATTTTATTTATAATTATTACTAACATTTTTAGTGTTTGAAGAAAGCCATCCTCAAGGGGTTTTGGAATAGCCAATTAGTTAGCCAAATCAAACAAATGCCAAATATTTTATGTATAAATTGCTAACTGCTCAATTTCATATCTGTTGACCAAGAATATTTTTAGCTCCATTAGCTTTAGATCCCAAGGTAAATACCATCCTCAAAATCTTTTTATATGGGCCTGATTCTGATCTTTAATCTGAATAACCAAATTTTCATCTTCTAATGTTATTCGCTCTTTCTTATCTACAGTCCACCTATCCACTATTTGTAAATATTGAAACCATGACTGTAGAATATTTTCTTGCCTTAATACATCTAAGGATTTTAAATGCCAGTCCAAACCTGACCAAATTAATAATTCTTTATACGAAATTTTGTCAAAATTCATCCCCTTAGAAATTCCCTCGATTGCATGTCTAGGAATCCCCCAGATAGATATTTTGTAATTTAACCTATGATAATACTTTTTCCAAACTCGAAGTAAGGCATTCCTCAAAATGTGTGATTTGAAAGCCCGGTCTACTTTCTTACTAAAAATTAAATATGCATGCCAACCATACATTAAATCCCACCCTTCAAGAGAAAGAATATCCTTGTTTGTTAAATTAAGCCAATCAGTTATCCAAGTTAAGGCGGCTGCATCATAATATAATTTCAAATTAGGTGCTTTAAGTCCTCCTCTTTCTTGGGCATCTTGCAAAATCTTAAACTTAACCCTTGGTTTTTTCCCAGCCCAAATGAATTTATTGATACCCTTCTGCCATTCTTCCAAATTTACATCTTTTTTAAAAATAGGTATCATCTGAAACAAAAAAAGAAACTTTGGTAGAACATTCATTTTTACAGCTGAAATTCTCCCCAACAGTGACAATTGCAATTTTTTCCAGTCATTTAAGTCCTTTTGTACTTTTGCCCATAATAATTCATAGTTATTCTTATATAATTTTCCATTTGAAGCAGTTAAATATACTCCCAAATATTTAACCTTTTTCACCATCTGAAAACCTGTAGCTTTAACTAAACTTTCCTTATCATTAACTGACATATTCTTAGATAATATCTTAGTCTTATGATTATTGACTTTAAAACCAGAAACTTTCCCATACTTTCTCCCTGAGGGGAGAAAATGGTGGATCGCCTTCTTTGGCGACCCCCCAAAAATGGTCGATCGACCCCAAATGGGGTTGCAACCCATAGGTTGAGAACCACTGTCTTAGAATTTTTGGAAGTATTTCTTTTAAAATTATCACATCTTGGGCTGCAATTTGAAACCTCTGTTTATAAAAAGCCTGTATAATTTCATTGCGAATAGATCTTCTGGAAAAATAAATAACCACATCTCTTGGTAGATTTCTCTGTCTAGCAACCCGTGAGTTGACTCTAAAAATTTTTTCTATCTCATTCCCAACTTCTTCTGGTCTCCATCCAAGATTAAAAGCAATATCTTTAACAATAAGCATCTTTAAATCTTCCTGCATATTTTCTTTCAATCCCCTGATACGCAATGCAAACTCCATTTCTCTGTATTGTGAAATGGTTTGTTCATCCTGTGTAGATTCTATCTTATTCTCCACTTCCTCCATTCTAGATTCCAGTCTTGTTGCATTTTCAGTAATCTCCTCCATTTTATCATCAATCCTTTCAATATGCAAAGCAAGACCTTGAAACGCAAATAATATATCATCTCCGACTTCCTTATTTTTTTTCTCCAATAATTCTTCTGTAATAGCCCTTTCTGCAATTATAAGATCTTTTACCTCCTCTTTGATATCCAAAGCATTCATTTTTAAAGCATCTTGTAAGTCTTTAAGAGAAATTCCAGGAGGAGGGGAGGGTGGGGGTGACTTTGGTTTAGACTGAGAAGCAGCTTGAGTCATTGGGGAGGAGATAGAAGCTTTAGGGACTGAGACAAAATGTTTTGAAGCCATTCTTTTAAATTCAAAGGAGCAAAAATTCTTGCCTCAATAATATCACAGTTCTTTAAATAATAATAGTAATAAAAAAGAAAAAAGAGGAGAGAAAGAGAAAAGAGGAACAAGATTCTTGCCTCTATATTTGAAACATAAACTGTATCCAACTTTTAACTTTGTTGCAAAATCAAACAAGAAAGACAGTCGCCATTTTGCCTTTCACTTTCCCTTTCTTCAAAAGGGAAAGTAAACAATAAAAGGGGGAGAAGATACTTGCAGGAGTTAAAGTCACAATCAATCTTAAATCCACTTTCTCCTGGTCTGCTCCGTCTGCTTTTAAATACTCACAAAACCATCGAAAAAAGCAGATGTGGGAGCGGCATCTTGCTTCATCCCAGAACTTCGGGACAAAGACATCCTGGAGCGCGGAGTTGGCTCAGGCTCCGAGGGAGCTCTACCCTCCGATCCCCAAAATTATAGGGATCCAGGGGAGCTCTTCCTCTACCTGAATGGCTCTTCTCTTCCCTTTCTCCCAGGAAAGAGATTCAAGCTACGGGACAGCTGATTGTCAAAGTCCCGCCGGCTTTTACGCGATCCGGGAACGGGCGGCTTCTTAAAAAGCCGCCATCGTCGCTGCTTGATCCACCGGAAGTCCGAGCTGAGTTTGTTTAAGTGGTTCTTAGGGAAGACTTTAAGATTTTCTTACCTACTTTCTTATATAATCAAAGAAATGCTGATTTCCAATATTATATTCAAGAGATACGGAAAGGATAGAGGAAGTTAGTCCCATTGTTTCACTGTTATCATTATTTCACCTTTCACAAAACTGGTAAAGTCTAGCAACTAGAGTGGGTTATCTCTATGATGGTAATCTGAAGGACTATCCATTCAGTGAGGACCTGGGTTGCTGTAATTTCAGAGAGGCTACAGAAGCTAGGATATAACAAAAGTGGTGGTTGTGCAGAGATAAAGCAGAAACATATATGAAGACTAGATGCAGGGAACCTTCAACTTAAATTGGATCTCATTTAGCAAACTTAGAAAAGAATAGACCAAATTTCTGTCTGGATAGTTGCAAATCTATTGCGTTTAAGTAATCTTAATTAATTACCACTGAATGAGAGAATTAAGTGTATGTTAATATTATCTTAATTTTATTACATTTGTTGTGATTTATATCATTTGCATAATGATGACATAACATATATGGTAGTGATGTTAATTTTTTGCATAATGGGGCAATACTATATCATACTTACTTGTATAGAAAGTGTTCTGTTCTTAGGAATTGATGAAACAATGACTACTGAAAACTTAAATGGGTTTTTATACCCTTACAACTTAATTATTTTAGCTGTTGAAGATTGGCTGGAAAATTAGATGCATCGTATTTGAGAAATTGCAGACATACTTGGCACAGAACTGACATGATAAAAAAGGTTCAACATTCCCCTCCAAGTAATAAACATTTTGTCCAGATACACCTGCCTCAAAAAACATAACCAACCATACTTACCCTGAGACTGCATATGCCTTCCCATCAACAAGACCTAGATCTTTATGGTATTGTTATGTGGATGTGATAACTATACTCATTGAATGACCAAGTCAGAAACTGAAAGATGATATTTTCAAATTTTAATGGTAACACATTACAAGATTTGGTGTCGGGGCTCTTCCGGTGGATCAGCGCGGGCGATGGCGGCTACCTTGTAGCCGTCCTCCTGGGTAAGTGTATTGAATCGCTATGAACAGCGGACATCAGCTGTTCAGCGGTTCAAAATCCCCCTCCCGGGCAAAGGGGGGGGAAGAGGGTTGTCTGGATAGTGGTAGAGCCTCTTATGCACCCCCAATATTTTGGGGGGGGTGTGAAAAGAGTGCTCCCACGGAGTTCAGACTGTCTCCGCTTCCCAGCTGCTTTTGTCCCTAGGGACAAAACAAGCCATTGCAACCACCTCCGCGATTAAAGAGATCTGGTGAGTTTTTCTTAGAAGCGGACAGAATTGACTAGAGGATTTAGCTTTTGTTTTCTTTGATTTTACTTGGATTTTAAGTTTAAAGACTTATTTTTATGTTTATATTCCCTCTTTTTACTTTTTACTTTTTGCCGAAAGGGAAAGTAAAATGGCGATCGGCAGGCTTTTCGGCGTTCTTTTTTTTCCTTTTCTTTTTTCCCTTTGGGAAGGTAGAATAGCAATCGGCAGGCTTTCTGGAGTTTTTCCTTCCCTTTTTCTTTTTTTTTTCTTTTTAATGATTGGAATGGATGTTTTAATTTTCTTTTTTTTGTTGAAAGGGAAAATAAAATGGCGATCGGCTTTTTTGGATTTTAGAAGCATTATTATTTTTGTTTAACTTTTTCGTTTTGTTTTTTGTATTTTTTTTTAAAAAAATGGAATGGACTTTTTTTAATTCCCTTTGATTTTATTTGGATTTTTAGCTTAAAGATTTATTTTTATTTTTATATTCCTTCTTTTTATTTTTTTTTTTCCCTTTTGCTGAAAGGGAAAGTAAAATGGTGATTGGCAAGCCTTTAGGTGTTTTTCTCTATCCTTTCCCCCCCCCCTTTTTTTTTTAATGATTGGAACGGAATGTGGATTTGATTTTGATGTTGGGTCTGGAGAAATATTATTATTTTTGTTTAACTTTTTTGTTTTGTTTTTTGTATTTTTTTTAAGAAGGAGTAAAGATTTCTTTAAGAAGGCTCTAAAGGGTTTAGTATTTTTTTTTTCGTTATAATGATCTCCTTTTGAAGGATTTTTTTGAATTTTTTTTTGGATTTAACCTTTCTTTTTTTCTGTTTAATTTTTGTAATTTTTAAGAAGGAGTAAAGATTTTTTTTTCCAAGATGGCTCCAAAGCATCTAGGGACTCCTACAGTTCCTAAAGTGGCTTCTTCTTCGGTCTTATCATCAGTGAAACAATCCAAATCAATAGCCTCACCCTCTTCCTTGGTTCAGCCAATAACTGTGAAGGATTTGCAAGATATGATGGGAAATGTTATATCTCAAATTAGGGTAGAAATGAAAGAGATTTTAGAGGAAAATAATAAGATTTTGAGGCAGGAGATAGTTTTGGTTTTAAAAGGAGTTGCCTCTGTTTTTGAAAAGCTGAACTCCCGTGTGGAAGAGGTAGCTGGAAAAGTGGAATTGATGGAGGGAAAATTTGAAAGTATGGAAAAAGAAATGGAAAATGAGATTCTTATGCTTCAATATGGACAAATGGAATATGCCCTAAGAATTAGAGGCTTGGGAGAGTCTTTGCAAGGAGATCTGAGAGAGATGGTTGCAAAGGACTTTGCTGTGATTTTGAATAAAGAAAAAGAGGAAATACTTGGTGAAATTGAAAAATTATTTAGAGTTAATTCTGTGGTGGCAGTGCAAAAGAACTTGCCAAGAGATGTGGTAATTTACTTTGGGAAAAGATCCCTGCGCAATGAAATTATACAAGCTTTTTATAAGAAGAGATTTCAAATTGCTTCACAAGATGTTATAATCCTAAAGGAGATCCCATCTAAAATTTTAAGAAGAAGAAAGGAGTTTGCTTTTTTAGCAGATGAACTTAAAAAGAGACGAATTTCGTTCAGATGGGATTTTCCGATTGGAATGGTGGTGAACTACCTGGGGATACGTTATAGACTTAATACTGTTTTTCAAGCAAAAGACTTTTATACTTCGGTCCTGGGGGTATGTTCATCGCCATCTATTAAGTTTAAAGCTTTGGAAGAGAAGAAGGTAGAATTGCAGTCTGAAGAGCCTATACTTATGAAAATTGGGAAACCTCAATTTGAGGGGTCTCAACAAGTTGAGATGGAGGAGCAGAGGATAACCTGTGCAACATATAATAAAGAAAAGGATCAATTGCAGTCTGAACTGCTTACATTTATGAAAATTGGGAAACTTCAGGGGCCTCAACAAGCAGAGACGGAGGAGCAGAAGACAACCTGCGTAACATAGAATTGTAAAGAAAAGGATCAACAGAAGAAGGTCAAGGAAGTTTCACAAGTATTGGTTCCTGATTCTGCGGGAGAAGCAATATTTACAAACTTTTTGGAGCAACCTGTAAGGGCAGAATTGCAGTGTGAAGAGCCTATATTAATTAAAAAGGGGAAATTTCAGTCTGGGGGGCCTCAACAAGTCGAGATGAAAGAGCAGAGGACAACCCGTTCAACATATAAACGTAAAGAGAAAGACCAACAGAAGAAGGAGGTTAAGGAAGCTTCACAGTTATCGGTTCCTGAGCTGGTGGGAGAATCAGGATTTACAAATTCATTGGAGTTATCTTCAAGGGCAGATTTTAAAGCATTTTTTTCGAGGTTTATGGACACGAGAGACTGATACCTTTAAGAGACTTATGGATAAGAGAAGGAATGTGTTTATTGTGGAGGAATTTGTTATTGGTATAATGTGGTGGATGGAATTTGTTATTGGTAAAGATTTAAATGTTTATAAGGGAATTCTAATGTTTTAAATAATGTTCAAATTTGTGTTTTGGAGGGAGTTTATAAAGAATGATGGATAATAATATAAGTATGATATGAAAATGTTTAGAGTATATTATAATGTGTTCAATGATTGGTTTTTTTATTATTATTATGATTATTATTAGTTTTAAGAGAAGATAACTTGTTTAATTAAATGTATCTATATTTGTTTAGGATTTATATGTTTTTGATTATGGAGATTGAATGAAAATTTTAGATAAGAAGTTTAAGTATTTAGTTTAAAGTATTTAAAGAGTATTTAGTTTTAATGGTATTTTTTTGCTTGAGGATAAAGAAAGAGGGAGAAATTAGATCTTATATTGTAGGTATAGATATTCAAAGAAATTAATGTTTAAATTTGTGTTTTGGAGGGAGTTCATTATACTAGAAAATGTTTAGAGTATATTATAATGTGTTTAATGAAGTTTTTTTATTCTTTTTTTGAAAAATTTTAAGTAAGCCTGTATTCAGCTCTGGGAAGCTTGGGGGAGGGTTTGGGAGGTTTGGGGAGGTGGGGGAGGGTATGGGAGGGTGGGGGGGGTTGGGGAGGGGATTTGTTGTAAAACTTAAAAAAATTTTAATTAAAAAAAAAAAAGATTTGGTGTCCATTACACAAATTACATAGGAATGCATGAAACAGAGTTGAGAAGATTGGTGACAATATAAAGATTTGTTCTTGGACTACAATAGTTGAAGCAAAAAATATGTATTTATTTCTATCTAAATTACTACATTACTCTAGACTTCTAAATATTTCCTTGTAACAGGCATTTATGTTTAAACCATATTTTGCAGAAAATTATTATTGTCATCATCTAAAACTTATACACACAGCAGCTGTGCTCTGTAATGGAGATGGTGGTAGTAATATTCTAGCTTTAGGTGCTGGTTGCAAATCCCATTATTCTTCTGGGTCTTCTTGAGTATCCTCAGTTACTGTGGATACAGGTCTTCTGTCCATCCATGCTTCCTCATACGTATCATACTGTATATCTCCTCTCATTAGGTCTGCTTTTGTAATAACATTCCATAAATTCCAGGTTCTCTTACTTGTCCAGGTATGGTATGTGTATGTGTATAGGCATATGCATATGCCTACATGTTTGTGTGTATAGGGGAGATTGGCTAGATTCTGTGGTAAGAAACTTTGGATCCTAGGTTATAGAAATAGGAGAGATCAGCTGGTAGGCTGGATCCTGAGTTGGGACAGTTTGGACCCTAACTTGAGTGTAAAGAGAAGAGAATAAAAACCGATGGCATGGGAGGAAGAAGAGGAGAGTTGGGAAGGGAAGGGAGACATTAGTAGGATGGTGCAATGACATGAAGAAGAGAAAGAAGTCTTTGGAGAAGGGGGATGAGAGCTGTTGAGACCTCACCTGATAATCTTCACACACACAAACAGATACATAGACACATGCACATGCACAGACACATATACTGCCAGATAGTTTGGCTCTTTTTTTATTCCTGTCCATAGGGTGATTCAAACTCATATTCCTTCAGGAAACACCAGATCAATGGGAAAACAGGATATTGTGGATAAATATACGGAACATTGAAAAGCTCTAACATTAAGTATTAAACAAATAATAAGAAGCTTTTCACAAAAAGCTTTGCTTTTTTCATTTGTTCAGTTAAGATAATAAAAAATCATTGTATGCATTGTTAGAAAGATTTTAGGGAAACAAATGGTACAATAAGCTATAATTATGTACAGGTTTTTTGTTTGTTGAGATGTATTCAGTGGCTCTTGCTTTGTAAGTCTCTTGGAACATGAGTTAACTACAAAGCACTTAGAATCCCTTGTTGGGCCTCATGCTGTGGATTTATGGCAATAGTTGTAGAATGAAATGAAAGCAAAGTAGAAAGCAGTGAATTTTTATGTCTCTGTTCTTTGAGAACAAAACTATCAAGAATGGAGAACATTCTCTTCATGTGATATGTATTATTTAAACATAGCGCTGATTAATATTTCACTTTAGGAAATGCGAGTTAGCCCATAGTTGTTAATTCAACTGTTAAAAATTGTTGTTCATTAACTATGTTTTTTTAAAAAAAATAAGAAAGTTCTTTATGCACCTAGGCATCATTTAAAAAAATGGAAAAGTTTGATCATTATATTATCATATGATAATAAACATGTCAGAGATTTGATCACTATTAAAAAGTCTAAAATGATTATATTTAATTTCTGCATTGCTTAGAATGTTCTTGTAATGCTGTGATTTTTAAAATAATATCATGTAAATTTCTGATTAATTAGAAATGTGCAATATTTAAAATGCAGAATTGTTTGAACTTATGACCCACTAGGGCATTTGATTAGGAAAGAAAAACCAAATTTAAGAATAGTCATAAAAAAACCCCTAGATATCCTGATCTCATGAACAGCTGAACAGCTACAGATGTGATATTTTATAATATTGGGTGATGACACACAAGCAACTCTTGGAAATCATATGCTGTAACATTCAGTCAATGTTGCAAGTCCACATGTTTTTAGGGTTACAATATATTGCCGCAAGATTTACATAACTTTTACAACACAGCACTGTTTTGTAGTCCCCAAACTGAAAAAAAAATATTTCCAATCCAGTTTTGCTTATATCTTTTTTATCTGTCAAATCATAAATAATGTTTCTTGGTATTACATTATAAAACTGTGTATTTTCCCATGTAAAACTATAATTAATAGTACTTGGCAGAATAATACGAACCTTATTGTACCATTCTTATTGCATCTGGGTGCCCCAGTGTTTTATTTATAAAATTTGCAATTTATTTTTTACAGCATAAACAAATTCATAACATCTTCAAGTCTACATCATAATGTCAGTCTGGGTCATCTGAAAGAAAATGTTTCATTTTGTGCATTTCCAAAAATGATGTTTTCAGAAAGAACATTTTCTGCTTTAAAGGACACAAATACGTAGTGTGTTTCCAGTTAGTAGAGTTTTTTAAGATGAAAAAAATTATCTGGTTTCCATATGTACTTATCCTCAATCCATTTTCTCATTAAAGAATTTACATTCAAGTCAAGTTTTATTTGCATTTAGTTTTAATATAATCCTGGGTTTGACCCAATCAACAGGAGACTTCATTGTTCCAGGATGATAACATTTCCTAACTATTCTCGTTGTGTTCCAGGAGAGAGTTAATTTCTTTCAAATAAACATGATTGCACAGCTGATTCCTGCCCATTTCATAGGAACATATGCCAAATTTGTAATTTGTTTAGCACTTTGGGAGTTGATTGAATCGTTTTTTTGCTCAACGTGAAGTTGGCACAACATCTGTGATTGCTCAGCAGGCTCCTCATCATTGAAAGGTGAGTCTAAGTTGAATGAATGAGGCAAGGTGTGAATTTTGGCAGTATCACATTCAGAATGGGATGATTAAGACAAACGAGTCTGTTACTGCACTATGATTTTAAAAGAACCTTTTCTGTACTCATGTCAATGTTTCTAGTTTCTTCAAAACTGTTTGAGAAAGTAGCCAATAATGAATTCTTTTATATGTTTGACTATTGATTTTTGTATTCAGGTAATCTTTGACTTATAACAGTTCATTTAGTGACCATTCAAAATTAAAATGGCACTGAAAAAACTGACTTATGACCCTTTTTCACATAACTGTTGCAGCCCCCCATGATTACCTGATCAAAATACAGACACTTGGCAATTGAATTATATTTATTTATTTATTTATTTATTTATTTATTTAGGAGACTTATATACCGCTTTAAGTGCAAGCACTCTCTAAGTGGTGTACACCAGTAAGCAATGTATATATATATATATATTTACATTGCCCCCAACAATCTGGGTCCTCATTTTACCTACCTCGGAAGGATGGAAGGCTGAGTCAACCTTGAGCCGGTGAGATATGAACCGCTGACCTGCTGAACACAGTCAGCTAAAGTGCCCTGCAGTACTGCACTCTAACTGCTGCACCACCTCGGCTCTATTTATGATAGTTGCAGTGTCCTGGGATCATGTGATCACATTTTGCCACCTTCTGACAAGCAAAGCCAATGGGGAAATCAGGAGATTCAGGCAGTTCAGATGAGTATAAAGATTTACTGCAAGCTTATGCTCTCCACAAGAATCTGAATTACTAATGGTCAGAAGAAATAAGCAGGCGTTAAGAAGGAATTCAAGGTAGGCTGAACCTAGATCTCTCATGGGTGTGCAGGGACTCATGACTGATGATGCCTTTGAGCCCTTCCTCGGGCTCATCCTGGTCATCTCCTACAAAAGGTTGTAAAATGGAACAAAACTCACTTAACAAATGTCTCACTTAGTAACAGCAATTTTGGGCTTAATTGTGGTTATAAGTCGAGGACTACCTGCATATGTCTGAAATATAAATAGCATCATAAGCAGATCGTTCTGCTCTATCATCCAGCAGAAATGGATTCTGGCACATTTCAATTCTCAGATTGTTTTGTAATATAAGTATAGCTATAGAAAGAAAGAATGTAACTTCACCTCATTGAAATAATTGAATCACAAGAGGCTTACAAAAATGCAAGTATGTTTTGCTATGTTTAAATTTATTGTATTAAACGAGGCTTATTTCGAATAGTTTCTAGAATACTGTAGTCATACATCACTAATTTAAAAAGAGGACAAGATCTTATGGGATTCCAAGCATCATATTCTATGATGGAAAGAGATTACATTTTCTACAGGTCTAACTTTTTTGTCTTGTGGTTGGTTCTTCTTTACTGTCATATGGTTACCAAGCCATGCATATTCTTAGCTATAAACAGGCACCATATAGTGCCCAGGTCATAGGTGGATTGAAGCCAACTGATGCCCTAAGCACAGGCCATTGTGGTACCCTGGAAAAATGAGGGTCTCATTTCATGAGAGGGAAATAAATGTAATATTTGATAACAACTTCAAACCTAATTTTTAACTGTTAATTATTCATCATGCCAACAGTGCACACTATAGCAAACAAAGACAATTAAAAAAAACTGAAGTCAGTTGTGTTAATGAAAGAATTAATGACACCATGGGGGAAAACTCTATGATACCCCCTAACCTTGCTGCCCTTAAGTCTATGTTTATTTTGCTTATGATTAGTGTAGGACTGGTCCAAACAGAAATTCACTCTGCACTAGGATCATAACATTTCTTAATGCCTCCTCTCTTCCTAGATCTCTATGGGACTTAACATTCCAACTAACCAGAAAATTTCTTCTGAAAATTTCCCAACAAGTAAAATTCCATGGTCATTCCTTCAGCATACATTGGCAACATTTGGTTACCAAGCTTTACTCAAGACATACTGATCAAGAAATCTAGAGCTCTGCAGTGTAGCCAGGTTACAGGTAACCTTTCCAGCCTGATAAGCATCAATTACAGTTTTGGGGACATCCTCAGAAATCTCCTTTGTCTGAGTCATGCCACAATTCCAGATACCTGTGTTGCGAAGATAAGATTTTGATTGTGAAAGCCTTGAATTGTTCTTTAAATAGGATCTCTCACCTGACTATTCTCTCATTGACTGAAATACCAGACTCCAATATCCCCTTTAAATGTACTGATAATCCTAGAAGTTCACATACTTTTGCCACAGAAAAAGTTACTTTGGATCCTTTTCCTCAATAAATCAACATATAAGCCTGATGTTTTTGACTCATTTGTTAAATTGGGTTTTCATTGTCTAATTTTAGGAGTTGGGTGGAAAAGAGATAGTGTTTTAGTCACTTTTATGCAGAAACATTGAAAATACAAAAGGGTTTGCTGTCTTTTAAGCAGCAATGTAACACTTGGGGCTGTACTTTAAATAAAGGAGTTTTATGCCCTTGAATAAAAAATATTGATCCAACTAATTATTACAAATACTGTACCATGCAGTATAAATACTTCTCCGTGTGCTGGATCAGAACAACTGCCTCCATTGCCTCCCCCTCCCCCAAAAAAGCCCTGAATGGGCACATTTGATTCCTTAGTGCTACACAACCACCTCGATCTTTTTTGTTTTGGTGTCTTTAGACAGGCGGAGGAAACGTTCCCGTCGGTTGTCACGAAAGAATCGCGAATTATCCCTTGTGAGATGGCCGGCCGTCCCGGGGCCTCTAGATTAGCCCGAGGGCCCGTCTAACGGTGGAGCAGCAGTGGGGTCTGATCGCGCAGGAGCAATTGCCAAACCGGGATTTCCACAGCCGGCCCAAAAAGGGCCCCGGAGTGGAGCGAGCGCTGGGCAGGGCAGGGTTACGCGAAGGGATGCGAAGGAGGCGGGAAGGAACCTCTTCGCTTCTCCATCCTTCCCAGTTTCCAGCAGCGGAGCCAGGGCGAGCGATTCTCTCGTACCGGGGAGAGGCAGAGAGCCAGCGCAGGGAAGCACCGAGGGGAGGGGGGGGCAGGAAGGAGGTGGGGCCGGGGGCGGCCGGGGCACCAAGCAAGTAAATAGTAGCGCGGACGGAGCGGGCCTCCCGAGGCAGTCACCGGCGGTTAGTGGCTCCCTCCTTCGCATCTCGCCTTGGGCCACAGCAGGCGGCGAAGCTTTCAGCCGGCCGGGCTCTGCCGACCGCCTGGTCAAAACGGTTGACTGAGCGTCCAGCTCGGAGCTGCGGAGGGACGTTGAGAAGTTTGGGAAGGAGAACGAAAGCCGGGCCTCGACCCAGGGCAACGCGGACGCCCCGTTCTCTCCCCCACCCCCAACGCCGCCTTTCCTCCCCGTGTGAGGCAGCGTTCCCTTTCAGACAGGCGCTCCGCGGGGCAGCCGTCGAAAGGCGATACTGGGGGGCCGCGGCAGAGGGAGCCGTCGAGGCGCGGGGAGAGCTGGCGGAAGAGCATCCAGAGGGGAGCCCTCGGCTGTGACGGCGGGCCCGGCGGGGATGGCGGCGGCGGCGGCAGTGGGGGGCATTACCACCTTTCCTGACGACGGAGGCGGCGGCAGCGGTGGCCCCTTCCCGCCTGGACACTTCAAGGACCCCAAGCGGCTGTACTGCAAAAACGGAGGCTTCTTCCTGAGGATTAACCCTGACGGCCGAGTGGACGGAGTCCGGGAAAAGAGCGACCCGCACAGTGAGTAGCAGCCTTCAGGCTTCGCCTCCGACCGAACGTGGCGTCTTGGCAGCCGCCTTGTCGGTCCCCAGATTCCACGGACGGGGAATGCGCGGACCCTCTCGAGAGAGTTAATCAAGCGGCGGGAGGACTTAAAAGCCCCTCCCTCTATACGCGCTTCAGACTACCTGCCTGTTGTCTCAAAAGTGCGTTTTCGAAAGACAACTGGAGGTTTTTTTTTCTCCCCTGAGGAAGGAGAACGTTTTGTTTCTCATCCAAGAAACTTCATCAGTTGTGATGGCGTGGGGGGGGAGGGGAGGGTGATGATGGAAGGTCAGGTTCTAGACCCCTTGGCGGTGGTGGTGGGGATGGAAGGATTGTATTTGTTTGCAGACCTCTGATCCTTCAGCACTGTCTGCAACAGTCCATTCAGTCTCAGCTGTCAGTACCACTCCCCTACGCCCCAAATCACAACTGATGAAGTTTCTTGGATGAGAAACGAAATTTTTGTTCTTCCTGAAGGAATAAAAGTCCAGTTACTTTTTGAAAAAACACTTTTGAGACAACTATGATCAGGATGACTGAGAATCATTAGCTTTCTGTTGGCATTACTTTCAATTATTTATTCAGTTTTTATTCAGTGTTGCAATACTCATGTCTCCCAGTTTTATCTAAAATTAGTCTAAGCTTTAGCAACCAATCCAAAACCAACTCCTTTCATTGCAGGCTATGCCTCCTTGATTAAAAATAAGGTATGGTAAATATACATTTAAACAAACTTTTAATATATTTGGGCACAGAAGGTTCAGCCTTGTCCATTTGCTCCTATGGTATCTGCACCATAATCCTTTGTAGGTTTACCTAGAAATAAGTCTTCAACACATTTAGAAGTCAGCAGGATTGTCACCTAAATCAATTTGATCCTTTCCTTCTGCCAGGGAGAATTGCCTGTGGAAAATTTAGCTGTTGTGTATCTCTGTGTGTGGCTTTATCGTATATTTTATAAATAGTAAACATGTATGCAGTACTGTACAGCCTGTGTAAATGCATGAAGAGATGCAGCTTGTGCCATTCACAAAGCATGCCACATTGTCCAACAGAATGCAGTGGCTCCTGATGCCTGCTAGCATCTTCCTCACATTTCCACTTTCATTTGTGCCCAATGAGAGTTGAGATTGACATGGTGCTCTAAACTGTAATTAAAGTTCAGTTTTGGTTTAGTGCCCAGTGTAGGGCTACCAGATATCTGAACAGACAAAGGAGGACAAATGAAAAAAGAAGGCTACTCTGTTCAACTTTCTGGTCATCTGTGACAAGTACAGCAAAAAATTGCAAAAATGAATTTAGGCCTATGTATATATGAAATTACTTTTTCCAACATCAGTAAGACTGGTTTTCCCACCACAGTATTTATCCAACAAATCTTTATTTTCAAGAACATATGCTAGAGATAATATAATTGCTGATGACTTGGTTTTCAAATTTCACCATAGAAATGTATGATGAGTCATGTGATCTACATCCTACAGTGATCATAGATTTGAAGGAGCTGGTGCTGGTTTCTGGAAATAAATATCATATATCTAGGCTATTGAGATGAAGGAAAGAAAGAAGCAGACAATTTACAATGTCATAATACATGAAAATTTGAATAAGTATTGTTGTAAAAATAATCCCAAACCCCCCAGACACTCATAAAGCTGGACAATATTTGATTTTAAGATTATGCCTGCCAGATGAAAAACAAAAGGTGGACATCACCTTTTGCCAGATGTCTAGTAATCATAGCCATGTGATGCTCCATCGTGCTTAGTAAACCATGCTTTATGATTTAACATGAGATGTGAACTTTGATTTGTTTGAGAATCTTCAGTAAAAATATAGTTATATGATTTAGTATAATTTATGAATTTAGTTAATATTGGAGAGCTGACATAACAGCTTTCTTCTATTTTTCATATACTTCTCTGTAGCTTCTCATATGCATTTTGTAATCTAGATTAATCACTAAAGCATTTGATGGTGAAGTGACAATTAGTCAACATTACGTTTATGCTGAAATATATCTTTCAAATTTGTTTTGGAGGGGTTTATTTTGTTTTTATTTTTCCTCTAACAATTCAGTCATGTTTACTCTCATTTACTCTGAAATAACTATTAGGTCACTATTAAGACCATTGGGATGTAAGCCTTGATAAGTATATCTAACTCACTGGAATACGAGATAAACATATTAGATTATTTACCTGTTAAGTCTCATTCCAAGAATTTTGGAGACATCCACACACTGTTTTCCTTTTGTAATCTGTATTTTTCAACTTTTTCCCTTATCTTTTCAACTTACATTTCCATGTATGTAAAAAAAAAATCCAAATTAATTAAGAAAGATAGTAGAATACATTGTTCTTAACTAATAGCACTAGGAATCCTGTCTCATGGTATGCATTCTACACCTACACTATTTAGTATTGTAGGTTCTTACTGCTATTCTGAGATCATGAGTGGGCTAAAATACCGGAACCATGTTTGCAGTATGGTCTACCTCTATAATGGATACCATTTCCTTATTATTACTAAATCCTGACTCTGCCCCCATGTTATAATATCACATTCCCTAGATTTGTAGACGCCAAGTGTACTTCCTCATATTGCTTACTGTCATTCAGCCAACCATATTCTTCAGTTCTTATCCTTGTTGCTTGAATCATTTGTTATATTATTATTTCTCCCTAGACCCCATTTTTTTCAGAATGGTACTTACTTGTCAGAGGTTCACTTACGAGAACCAAAGATTCAGTAGTTCAGTACTGCATACTGTATTCTCTTGTAGCACCTACAGCTATAATTGTGTCCTTTATTTCAGGTAGCATTTGCTGCAGACTGCCTGTTGCACTGATTCCAATTTTATTAGTTTTCTACTTTTCTACTTAGAAAAGTCCCACATTCTGTTTTCCCCCAACTATATTCTGCATATTATAAAATCTTTTTATACAATCTATATCTGTTACTCTGGCTATTCACAAAGCTTCTCTTTTTTATTGTTCTGTTGAGTCACTTCTGATTCTCAAAAACTTGATAGACCTAATTTCACCAAGAATGTCTGTCAGTGACTGCTATTTTGAGCTTGTAAGTTTGTACTTGTATCATTGGTGATAGTATTTAGCCACCTTGCCCTCTGTTAGCCTATTTTCTCTAATGCCTTCAATTTTTCTAAGTATCAGAATCTTCTCATGATTCTTGCTTGATTTAAAAAAAAGTTCAAGATGGCATACAATATGAAAGTAGTGGATTTTGGCTTTCTTCAGTGGTAGAGTTTTCC